AATGTTGATACAGCCCAACTAACTCTCCCTATCACAACCCAAAAAACTGCTTCTGAGACCCTTAGCATCCTACACTGACACTTTACAATCAAATCTATACCTAACTCCATTTTAGCTCTTCTACCACTCCCAGAGCCCACCTGAGAAATATTTTCTCAATAACTATGATCCAATACAATGACCCAGAAACCCAACCAGAATCATCAATATCACAGTCTAATACAACTATAAGCAATATGACAACAAATAAAAACACCACCACACACAACCAAGACAATGCTTCACCTATCTATGACAGAATTTCAATAGCAATACACAATGTACAAGGCCTAAATACCAAGCTAAAAACCCAACTATGGTTTGAGTTCTGCAATACACAACAATACCATATAATAAGCATGACCAAAACAAAACTAGCAGAATCTACATACAACAGCTTACAAACAAGTAATCCCTATTACTACATATCAGTGTTGGCAAATGACAAGGTCATAAAAATTTTTATGAAAATGACCATAAATGACATGTCATTTTAAAAATATTTTTATAAATGACATTAAAATGACAAATAAATGACAATAATATTAAATATCCTTAAGCACCAAATGCTGTTGCAATAATCAGCATTATTTAATGCAAAAGTTACGTATGTGTGTACATACATGCATACGTACAATTTTGTAATTTTATTGAATCTATTATGCCCAGATAATAACTTAACCGGATCGGCCAAAAAATCATTCGGCTAATTTTTATCAGCGTTTTCAAAAATTATGATTCAGCTGTTTTCATAATTTCTGAAACACCTAATAAAAATCCGTCAAATGATTCTCGGCCGATGTAGTCTTATTTTTTTTTAAAATGTACTTTAAACTGTATAAATAATGTAAAATTAAATTGATATAAACAGCTAATCGTACAAAAGTCTTCCTATGGCCTTAACTGTGGTTTATCAGTTAGAAAGACTATGTATATAATATCTTTGTTAACCAAACTGATCCATCTCTAGATCGGTTTTACACAAGTTTGGCTACTAATAAATAATGTTACTCAAATCGATAGTAAAGCATAACTGGTATATTTTAGAATTTAGATGAGGGTGATCATTATTGCGAGATCAGATGGCTTTATGAGATCACATGTCCACTTATCATTTATGGAATTTGTTAAGATACCGGTATTTTCTGGTTAATATGATGATTGCATATGATTGTTGAAATGTGAATTACTGAGAATGGGGTAATCATATGGTTCTGAGTATGTAATTAGTAATGTATTTGAGGGCGTTTAGTTAGTAGAGTAGGGTAGGTATCGCTCGCCTTGTAGTGAATGCTGGCTTTTTGATGGGTGCTGTTAGCAAAAGAATCCCACATTTAGTAATTAGGCTTCAGCTGACGTAGGCAATGCACGGACTTCAGTTGCTCCATGGCTGCTGTATGCAGTGCTAGGATCTCATGTTTGGTGGCTAGGCTCCGCGGCTGTTATTGGCATTGCAAGGACCTATGTCTTAGTTTCACTTCATCACCAGATAATACTATGTAACCGATTCTCTTTATAGCTATGTGACTACAATCTGGCCTACAATATGTTTTAATGGTCAGAGAGATGCAATGGGTTATAGGATGGAGTGTTTGTTCGGGATGAAATATTCTTTGAAGACATAGACATTTTAGCATAAAGCTTGTAGAGCTTGAAAATGATAGCGAACAGAATCCTCATATGTTTCTTCTTCGTGTAAATAAAGTCAGCTGATCGAGCAATAATAAAAAACAAATTAGCTCTAAATTAATTACTGAAAAAAGTTAGTATTGTTGTTAGCAAAATATTGTTCTTTGTTAATGTAAAGTCAATAGCAATATAATTTTGTACATACATAATACAATTACATATACGTTTTACCAGCCTATTACTATTTTTATTGAAAGTACCAGAATTAATATTTGATTTATCAGATCAAAACCTTTACGTCCATTTAAAGTAATACATACAGATTAATGCAAGTTAAAAACTTGTACGTCTTTACAAAATTATTTTAATATGAAAAGACTATGCTGCCCAATTATATACAAGATTTAGAGCACAGCAACTTGCTTGTAATTGTAAACTATACTTCGTACTTCGTACTTCATACTATGTTCTTAGTACTATATACTTCATACTTTGTACTACATTCTTGGCATAAAAATATCAATTTCGTCCAATAAAAGGCGGATTTCTTTTCCTCTAATAGGAACCAGCAGGAAAAATTAGTAAATCTTCACTTAATACGTTTTGAATATGAAAGATTGCATTTTCAGAAATCTACTATTTTACATTAAAGGATCTCATATTATCTTCGTAATGATTTTACCTTTTTTGATATCTAACCAAATTAGTATCATGATTGCTAAAGCACATATTATTTGGCATTATTAAACATCTAACCAAATTAGTATTGTAATTGATAAAGCCACAGTATTTGGTATTTTCGAGTATCTAACCATTTAGTATTATAATTGTTAAAGCTCACAGTAAGAGGTAGTACATATACTATCAAAGCTAACACGATAGCATGATGCCTTTGTTGTAATATATTAGGTTTTAGTTCTTTATCATATGAATCAAACTATATATAGAAAATGAGACATCTATTTCAACAAAAAGAAGAATCTAGTCTCTATTATAAAGTATCATAGCTATAATAGTTTCTTTCATTATATCTTTACTATTAATTCATTCACTTAGAATTCTATGCTATTTGAACCTTATACTATTCATATTTACTCTCCTTTTCGGTATACATACTGCCTTATATAATAGGTTATATCAATCATGATACTAATTTAGTTAGATATTTAATTAAATCAAAAAAAAGAAAATTATTTAAATTTATACTATACCAGCTATGTAATAAATTATAATGTATACGTACAAAAAACAATAAGATTGTTATAAATTGTGCTAAATTATCTATTTAAACCGAAATTTTTTTGCAATTATTGTTACTATCATATTAATAATGGGACGTAATCGTCATAAATGGTTTTCTACTTTAAAATACTTGATAAGTTCGCAAACAAAAGCAATAAGGCAGCTATATGCCGTGCTTGCTATGAGGCTTTAGGTGATGAGGCCAAAAAACTAACAAACAAAGCAAATTTATGTTATAATCATTTGAAATCTTGTCCACATTGTGCATTAAAACATACTAAAGAAGAATTAGAAGAAATTTTGCAACTCGATAAAGAAGTTATGCAAGAATCTGATCATGAATCTAATGAAGAAGAAAATTCTTCAAATAAAACAGAACACACAAGTAATTTTTATATTTAATTTTAGATTGAGAATTTTTATTTGCACTCTAGTATATAAATACGGATATATTTAATAACTTAAAATTTTAGTTATAAACCCATTTTTTCTGAAATTTTAATATAAACTATACACTAACCCTAACTCTAATATAGTTTAACTTCAATCTTGTTTAAATTTTAATTTACAAAATATATCCGTATTTATATATTTGTGTAAATTAATAAATTTTCTTTTAAATTAACTTAATAGCATTTATCGTTATTAATATAAATAAATTTTAATAGCATCTCAAAATCTTATTAACCCATTTAAAAGAAAAAAACAAACAAGTGTTAGCCAATATTTGCATCATTCATTGTCAGAAAAGATTCAACAACAATTTGAACGACATTTAATTCGTAGTACAGTGATGAATGGAATGTCATTTAGATGGATAGAAGATGAAGATATTGTGGCTGCTTTTAAACTTGCAAATCCAGCAATTCAATTACCTTTACGCCGCAAATTAAGTGGGTCTATTTTAAAAAAAGAAGTTAACATTACAAAAGAGCAGTTTGAAATTACAGCAAAAGATGGTCCTATTGGTGTTACTTTAGCATTTGATGGGTGGAAAAATGTGGTTAAACAAAAAATAATAGGAACTGTACTTATTACTTCTAGAGGCAAAGCACTTGTATAGAATGCTGAAGATATTAGTTCAGAAAGAAGTTGTGCTATTAATATAAACATGTTTACTAAAAAATATATTGAAGATTTAGCTACAAAAGAAATCAATGTAATAAGTATAGTTTCTGACTCAGCGGGAGAAAATGTTAGATCAAGGTATATATAATTTTATACTGTTTAATCTCTATAAGTGCACTTTTTATAAGCATATACTATAAATAATTATTTAATAAATTATTTTAAAAATAATTAATTATTTAAATTAGAAAAGAATTACGTACTCAGTATACAAATATTGTGTTCCTTCCCTGTTTTGCTCACCAAGCAAATTTGTGTGTCGGAGATATTTTCAAATCTTCAGAAAAATATAAAAAAGTTTCAAGTCAAGCTATAAAAATTATTAGTTGCTTTAATTCATCTACTTATTTGTTAGGACAACTTCGTAATCAACAAATGAATCTTTATAATGGAAAGGCTTTTGCTTTAACATCACCTTGTGATACAAGATGGAATAGCTTTTACAATAGTTTTAATAGTATCTTAAAATCAAAAGATGCATTAACGGTAATATTAAAGTTTTTATTTTCTATTTACAAATTTATTATAATAATATTATTATAAATATATTTATGGTAATTTTGTATCTATTATATATTTTTATTTTATTTTTTAAATTTTTACTATTATAGATACTTGTAACTAGTTTGGAAAATTCAAATAATACTGATAATAAAAAAGTTCCCTCTGATATAGCTGAAATTATTGAAGATTCGATGTTTTGGAATAATTTAAAAGAGCTTAATAAAATCCTTCTTCCATTTTGTGCTACACTTAATAAACTTCAATGTGATTCAGCACGTTTGTATGATATTATGCATGCATATGCATGGATAGTAAGCACTATTCAAAGAAAGCCTGATTCACCATTTCGTTCACATATGTTGTCACGTTTAGAGAAATGGTGGGATCAATGGGAACAGCCTCTCCTTATATTATCTTGGTTACTTCACCCCACATATAGTTTAAAGAAGCTTAACCTTCGCTTAAACAGTTTATCAGTACCAATATTAGGCAAATGGGTAGTTTATTACTATAAAAATTGGTTTGATAATAGGCCTGAAGATATTTTATCTAAACTCGAAGACTTTTGGCAAATAATTCACCCTTTGACACAATACCATTTGATCAATTTAAGGGTAATGTAATTAAATATTGGACCTTTATTGAACGTGGAACCCATAAAGAACTTGCAAATCTGGCACTTCGTTTATTTGGAATTTGTATTAATAGTGCCAGTGTAGGATGCTAAGGGTCTCAGAAGCAGTTTTTTGGGTTGTGATAGGGAGAGTTAGTTGGGCTGTATCAACATT